AAGCACAATAAAATAAGCAGTGACTTGGGATATCCCAAAAGGCATCAAGCTGTTGCTGGTAGAAACTTGAATCACTTAACTTGCTAGCATTACATTGTGACCATGGAGGATATCAAGGATATTAATAATGGTTTTGTTTTAGTTGCTTAATAGGATGTCTATGTATGGTCTTCTCTCCCTTTACCCAGTTGCCAAATACCCACACCCATTCCATTTTTCAAAAACAGGTCGTCTTCCAAAATTCCACGTGCAGAGAACCAGATAGCTATCAATAAGCTATTACAAGCAAGAACAATTAGCCACAAGAAATTTGATACCAAATGTGGCCACCTACCAAAATGAGCCTGAGGAAATATGTGAGAGTGCATTGCTCCCGAGAGGCCTTATGGAAGCCACAAAGAGACCAGACAATGTCAAATCATTTATACACTCTTGAACAGTCATTTCTTAGTTACATATAGAAATATACACACATATATGTACCAAACAATTCATCTATAGCATGACTAGCAATAGATTAAGCTAGGAAAACCATTAGAAACAAACACTACAAAACAGATCTCCCATGTAATAAATAGCAAAGTTCATGTAGAAAGAAAGCTCAGCATAAAAAGACAAATTTACACCTTACAATGAAAGGGTAGAAAATTATTTTTACTCATAAGTCACTATCTCTGTAAGCCAGTACCTAACATCAGTATAGCTGCCAAAAGGTTAGAACTTCTGGCAAGCCAGGGGTAGCAGTTTACAAGGTGGAAGGAGAGAGTTGCCATATTCAAGCAAATTCATCTAAAGAGGCTACAAGTTCTTTACTATGATCTAAATCAGTACAGTTAGGAATGAGATTAAAATAAGGAAAAAGGTATTTGGGAAATGAAACAGCTGAACAAGTTTAACTGCATAATATCTCAAAAGGCACTGAAACAGAATTAATTTTAGCAGAAAACAGGAATTTGCGTAATTTGGTTTTACCTCTGCCTGATCAGTTAAATTCAACCTATGCAAAGCACAACTCATTGTTAAAATGCATACATCAGCAGACTTACAACTATGGAAGTCCAGTTAATAGACAGAAGTGCCAACATTTGGCTGTGCCTTTGAAGAGGAAAATTAGGATAACCTAGCAGTCATCTAAATCCAAGTTCAGCTTTTTAAAGAAAAGCACAAGTTCGCTTTTTTATAAAGCATTTCAGAGTTTGTCTACAGATTATGATTCTACAGAATCCTCCCAAGAATTATACTCATGAATTATATTAATTCATGAGTGTAAAGATTATATTTAAACATGTTTTACTGTCACAAGACAGAAAAATAAAGGACACCAATGTACTGAATAAACAGACTGGTGAAGAGCCCAAAAGCCATGACTCTCCCGGTTTTAGCTCCAGCTCACTAGTTTTGAGAGCTTTAAGGACTTTGAAACAAAGCAAGGCTTTCAAGATTCCCAATTTCAGAACAACCTCCTATGAAGCATGCGTCAAAGCCAAGGTTATAGTCTTAGAAGGCACCCAAGCAGTAATACACAGATGCAAATAGGTTTGGTAGATCTTAAACAGCATGGCCACCTTTTGAAACAGAAAAATAACATCCTATGCCCAATTTAAAAAAACACTTATATAAAGAAAAAAAAAGTTGATTTCTGCAGCCTATTCATAAGTATTGTACTCTACATTGAACAAACACGCAACACACAGACTAGAGATAGATAATACAGAAAAATGCTCAGAAACAAGTTATCCAGCTATGAAAAAAGAAAAAAAGAATCAATGCAAGTCTTGAAAGACAGGTTCTCAAACAGTTAGGGTCTTTTTTCCTAACCTGTTGCTCCTCGGCTATTGGTCTGGAATGGATTTGTTGAAGGTACCACTGGGGCAACAGGGGCAGCTACAAATGGATTTGTGGAAGGTGTTGCTGAAAGATTAAAGACAATTTATTTAATAAAGTCTTAAAAATAGCCAATCTAACTCAATACATTAAGTTTATACAGCTTTTATACAGAGATACATATCTAAAATTACATGAAAAAACTAGGAATTGATAATAAAATGCTTAATTTGAAAAGCATCATAACAGCCATACTTCTTTTGGCATCCTTTACTAACTGCACTATCACTTGTGTCAAAGTATAGCACTACCAACTAAAAATTAGTAAGATGTTTCGTTTGCTAACAGCCCACAAAAGGTGTTAGTAACACTTATATACCTCCAAATGGAGCAGGCACACTCGAAGACGCAGGCTGTGTCTGTGCAGTAGCAGCCACAGGTACTGTTCCAAAAGCATTGCTGAAAATAATTCATACATTCAGTGATGTCAGAATTGCTTGTTTAACAATTAAATACAATTTACAATTATTGTTGGCATATAAAAGAAAAGGAATGCTTCTGCGCAGTTTGCAAACTGCAACATAATTCACTGGTGCACAGAACTGAGCCCCTGCTGCCAGGGTTAGAGACTATAACTACTGCTGAGCAATGAAAAGTCATCTCTACCAAAAGCAGGACAAAGTATTGAACAGAGGCCACCAGCAGAAAGGTTGCAAAGCAGAGGTTTATGGGGCACTGGCAATACCAAATGGAGCTCTAACAGGCATTTGGTATTTATTACTTTAATGATCTAAAAAAACAAGCGGTGGCACCATTTACATTATAAATAGTTGAATGATTCTTTTGCCAGGGATGATGCTATGATTTTCAGTATGGATGCAACCTGTACAGGAAAGCATTATCGTCCAACAGATTTACCATGTAATGACTAGAAAAGTGCAGAGAACATCCTGCTGACAGAAAGTATTCTTATTCTATCAAACAGAACTGCTATTATTTAAAACACAGGGGACAGTTTCAGAAGTACCTCTAAACTCATTCAACATTTCCCTGTTTAGGTAAGAAGTAACAGAATCAAGAAACAACTCCGAGTTACTTCTCTGCATATTGCTGAAATCAACACAGAAAGTCAGCTACTTCTAACAAAGTACCTGCTAACTTTACTGGTGGAAGTATATGCGTTACTAGAGGTTGCTGTGGAGCTGAACACACTGTCTAATTCTGCTAGAGCCGCATACTTGTCTGAAGATGCACTTGACTGATTTGGGGCTGACAACGCAGGACCTCCTGATGCTGACACTACTGTACTGAAGCCACTTCCTTGCTCACTACCACCTAGAAAGAAAGAAACCAGATTAGAAGTAATGAAGAGACTTTCACTTTTTGCCCTGCCAACATTGAAAACAAAATGAAAGTTCATGGAGAGTTTAAGTTTCAGACTTCTAAATTAAATATGCTCTGAGGCATACAGAGAAAAAAACATATATACCCAGCCATTAGCTATTTGCTTCTATAGATACTCTGCAGCTCCAGAGCCCCTGGTTTGCCTGGAAAATATTAACTCAATGCTACCATCATCTTCAACTGGAAAATTTGATAAAACACATACCCTCAAATAATCCATTTCAGAAAAAAGCTCTACATTGCAAACCAACACATTTTTTTTTATACACCATCTGAGAAGGAAAAAAGTTATAGAATAACTAGGGGGTTTTCCTCCTTAAAAATCACTAAATCCTCACTTAAAAATCACTGCTATTTTATAAAAAACTTAAAGCAAAGTCTTTTTATGGCAGAGATGTAAGAAAGCTACTCTGGCAGTTCTCTGCAACAACTGTAGCTCTCCATTCAAGAGCCTTCACTACGTAAACTATAACACAAATATAAAAAATATATTTTTATATATTTTCATCATTGCAGTAATAATTATTTAGATATTTCCACTTAGGTTCACAAAGAGCAGACTTTCTGATGCAGACTTTTGGAGGAAATGTTAGTCTTAAAACTTAGATCTTGCACATTAAGGGTTCACTGACAAGAAATTCGACTGACAGCTTGAAGATAGGACATTTTGAAATACAGTTACTATTTTGACAAGCACAGCCATCCCTGTGGTATATATACAGATATAGAATAAGCACATCAAATAATAGAATTCAATACCTTGCCCTGCGCTGAAGATATTATCTAAATTAGCAAGAGCTGCATATTTGTCAGCTGACTGTAGATTCAGTTTATTCACTGCAGCTTTACTGGCTGCAGTTGCTGTTGTGTTGCTCTGAGAATCATTGAAGGCTCCAAAATCAGCACTGGGGGATTTGGGGAAGTTATCAAAGTGAGCAAAGTTAGCATTCACTGATCCAGCACTTCCACCTGTAACAAATTAAGTTAAACATGATCAACACTCCAAAGCTAGAGAAAGCTTTTTCAGCTATAACTGAAGGCACAATAATCCCACCTCTTTCTGGTTGCACGAGGCAGCACTTCCCCACCCCACACGTATAACCCTTTCCCATTTCTTTCAAAGTTGCATCAGGTCATCAGAAAAAAAATCTTTTATATTTATCAGTCTGCAGATCAGGAGCAAAAAAGCCCCAAAGAGCTTAAAACACAATCATAATTTGATCTGGGAAAACTATATACTGTTTATTAGCTGCTAAAAGTAATTTCAACAATAGTATTTTGTTAGGGGGAAAAAAGTGCATTTGCCTGAATCTTTAATACTCAAAATGCAGAAGCTTCATTTTCCTGTCATGTGTCTAATGAATACCTACTATTTGCATTTACTTTATGGTAAAATGTTTAACCATTTCAGATGTCAGCCATCATTCTAAGCAAAAAAACCAGTGCCTAGAAGTCCAGAAAGAGTATGATTTCATGCCAAGGATTAAAGAGAGAGTTTGGAAAGAGGGGATGGGGAAGACACAACACAGCTCTTTTTACACCAAGTCTCCACTGACATCGAAGATACATAAATCAAGTTTAAAAATCTGGTTTAGGCCCACACAGCTGAACTTCAGTTCAATATGAAACTATGAGGTTCTGTCTCTTCGGTGTCCAGACAATTTGATCTGGACAGGTCACGTAAGTTTCATTAAGTTGTTCCATTAAGTGTATCACATTTTATAACAGTTGTTGAGGATTCCACTCATACTGCAGAACACACAACTTTAATAGCATAATCAACAAGTTAAAATATATGCAACATTATGAATGAAAAAGCTATACTATAATGGGATAAAAGGAAGCAAGCTGAGTTTTCCACTGCGTGGAACTTACTGTGTACAGCCTGGAGAGGAAAAGCTGAAGTAAATTCACCAAAACTGCAGCTAGATGAAAGCGTTCTGAACGCTGGAGAGCCAGAAATTGTGTGTGGGTTAAAGTTAACATAAGAAGGGAGAAAGAAAATTTGAAAGAAAGTTTAAAACAACACCACACTCAAAAGAAGGAAAAGAAAAAAAAAAAAAAAAAAGGAAAAGAAAGTCAGTCAGCCAAAGATCTAGACAAACAGCAAGTGTAAGCTCAAGCAGAAGTTCTAAAGCATGATCAAATTAAAGGAAAGCAAAATGAATCTTAGCAATAGGCTCTACACATGAAGCCAAACATATTGAAGTGTGTGCATATATTATACTTACACATAGGTACACACTTTTTTTGGTACTGTGATGTACTTTTGGGTCCACTGAAACACTTCTCTTACAAGATAGAGTCAATTCAGTATTTATCAAAAGCAGTGTGGTTTAGTCATTCCATAGTTATTTCAGGTGTAGAGCTAACAAACACATAGCACCAAAAATCAGACTTCTGAGCAGCATTGGGTGGATGGGTGGGGAAAATAAAATCAACACCAAACAGAAGGAATTCATTTTGAGTTTCCCCAGAGCTTCAGATTGATTGATTGCATTAAAGCAGGCAGATGCAAGAAAACTCAACTTAAGTACCTTCCAACATAAAGGTAAGGATTATTTCAATTAAGTATTAATCAAAAGTGCTAGGAGTTCTACCTGTATTTTGGGGCTGAAAAGACTGCCTTGCTGTGGGGAAACCTCCAAAATTACTCGAGCCATTAGACTGTCCAAATGCATCAAAGTTTGCAAAACCTGCATTTGCAGAGTTCTGCGCTGTAAATTGCAAAGGAACAAAACATGTTAATGGATATGGGAAATAAACACACAAACAGATGTATTAAGTGAATTCATGGTCATGATAGCCTCCAAGGGTTATGTCCTACCTTGCAATTTCTTTCTACATGAAAAAAATTATACATGATATTCTACAATTGAAAGTGGTCTTTGAACAAGCTTTCACAAATCACCTTCACAGAGCTGTACCACTTAATACTACTTCTCTCCTCACACATGCTATTCTTCACAACTGCATGATCCAAAAGTCCACTTCAGCTTAACCCTAGAGTGCTTGCAGTGGTGGCTGGTCAGGGAAAACCAGCCAAAAAGTACAAAATACCAGATGTATACCTGTAAAGGCCAAACCAGGTATCATTCTAAATACTAGTTTCTAAAACTAGAATTTGTGGACTAACTGAACATTTCTTTGGGAATAAAAATTAGAAGGTATTCTTATGACATACTGACAATTTGAATTCATCATATACAAAGTGCTTCTTCCTTGGGTGAATTTAGTTTGGTACCACATGAATAGCTTCGGCTATGTTTATAAAACTCAATTCACTGGAAAATTCAGTACAGAAATGTGGAAAACCAGTACCAGTCTCAAGAAGATAGCATTCACAGAATGTATCCACAAAATAAAATCCAAGGAAATTTCAAACAATTTCAGGTTTTGCCTTCCTTTTATGCCGTACTATAGGAGAAAATTAAAGTTAACACCCATCCAATTTCAAACAGCTGACCATTTGAGCATCTACAGATTCAACAGGAATTGCATGCCTAACTAATAAGCTCTATAGAAATCTGAAATTCTATTATTAGCAAGGAGTAAGGAAAAATCCCTGGTTTTAACCAAATGCAAACCAAACCCCCCTATATGAGTTACTATCTAAAGAAAGCCCACAAAACACCTTCTAGAGTAACAGATGGCAAAATGTCCTATCTTGGGGTCAAGATTTGTTGATTCTGGAGGGATCTTGCAGATTAAGTATATACAAAAGCAAGAAATTATGCTGATTGTTTAAGTACTGTTAGTTAAAAGCCAGATAATGCTAATAAAAAGTTGAATTATTCTACTTAATTTCTATTAAAAAGCATCTATGCCACAGATTTATAAGCTAAAGAGACATTTTTATACAAACTACTGTATTCCACAATGCTGCAAATATAAATGAAAATGCAACTATTTCCCTTCACAGGGGATACTGGGAGAGAGGGTAATGTTTGACTCGATACCACTTTTTGTCAGAAGCGTACATGCATATTGGGTTTACATGGCACAGTTTTGGCGGCAGGGAGTTGCAGTGGAGGCCCCTGTGAGAAGTAATCAGAAGCTTCCCCCACTTCTGACAGCCAGTTTCAGCTGGGTCCAAAACAAACCTGTTGCTGCCCAAAGCTGAGCCCATCAGCAATACTGATGGCACCTCTGTGATAGCCTATTTAAGAAAGTATAAAAACCACTGTGCAGCAGCAGCAGTGAGAGAAGAGTGAGAAAAATGTGAGAGAAACAACCTTGCAGACACCAAGGTCAGTGAAGGAGGGGAGGAAGTTCTCCCAGGCCCCAGAGCAGAGATTCCCCTGCAACCCATGCTGCGGACCATGGTGAAGCAGGCTGTCCCCTGCAGTCCACAGAGGTCCACAGTGGAGCTGACATCCACCTGCAGCCCAGGGAGGACCCCACACTAGAGAAGGCAGAGATGGCCTGTAGGAAGCTGGAGTCTGTGGAAAGCTTATGCTGGAGCAGGCTCCTGGCAGGAGCTGTGGCTAATGGAGAAGATGCCACACAGCAGCAGGTTTTCTGGCAGGAGCTGTGACTCTGTGGGGAGCCCACCCTTGAGCAGTCCATGCCTGAAAGACTGTACCCAATGGACACAACTGATGATAAAGCAGTCCTTGTACAATAGTAGCCCACAGGAAGGGTCCACACTTGAAGTGTGTGAAGGACTGTATCCCACTGGGGGTAAGGGACCCCACAATGGAGCAGGGAAACAGCATGAAGAGAAAGAAATGGTAGAGATGAGAAGTTATGGACTGACTACAACCCTCATCCCCACCTCCCTCAGCAGGAGAAGGTAGCAGAATCAGGAGTGAAATTGAGCCTGGAAAGAAGGCATAAAGGTAGTTTCAGTTCTGTTCTTGTTTTTCCACTATCCTACTTTATTATTAATTGACAATAAATTAAGTTAATCTTCTCCAAGTCAAGTCTGGTTTGCCCATGATGGTATTTGGTGAGTGATTTCCCTTGCCTTGACTCAGGAGCTTTTTCCATCATGTTTTATCCCCCCATCCTGCTGAGGAGGAAGAACATGAGAGCAGCTTGACGGGCACATTGACAGCCAGTCAAGGTCAGCCCACCACAGCATGAGAGTCAAGGTAAGAAGGAATAAATAATCAACCAATGAGAAAGGAAGGTCTTGGGCAAGTTCTGTCCAAAAATTTTCACCTTAAAAGTGTGCTCAAGAGAAAAACTACAGACTTCACTCCAAATTCCAGTTTGTTTAATTTTCAACCAGTAGCTTTTTAAGAGGAATAGATTATTGCACCTTGTTTTAAAATCAAAGTGTTTTGATTTTGTTAATTAATGTTTTCATCCTGATACATCAATAGGATAGGGACTACTCAGAGACTAATGTTTAGTTAACCAAATACAACTGAGTAAATAAATGTTGCTCCTAGCATTTACAGAATTTTTCATTTTCACTCACACAAATGGAATACTACGTCAAGAATCTTGGGTATCTTCTGGGTCTAGTTTAAGAACTGGAATGTATTATATTACACGCCACTTTTAAGAATTTTATTGAATCAGCTGACACAAAGTAGTGTTAAAATAGTAGAGGTGTAAATACTTTTCTGCAGAGTATTAAGATGTTAATATTGCTTTATTTTATGCTGTAAAGTTCAAACCTACGTAAAAGCAGCACAAAGGTAAAGACCAGTACTTTCCTGTACCTGAACAATATATAGATTGGCAATTCCAAAATTCAGTTCTCCATGCAGAAACACAAGAACCACTGTAAGTAAGTGAAGGAACTGCAGCAGATTGCAGACTGGCATAGATTTACAACTGCTGTTGTGACTGCAGATACAACAGCAAGCTGGTTAAAGCTAGCTCAAGTATGATAGCACCAGCCATGGCAATGCAATCCAACCCCTACAGTCTTTGTGTAGTTTCCTCTGAGAAGTTTGCACTAGGATGGAAGAAAGGCATGAAACATTGCAAAACCAAAAACAACCTAAATATCAATTACAAACCTGAAACTATGTCATACTCCTGTATTTCTTCTGGGTAAAGCCCCTTCTCCCTTGTTACCCATGATAGAGTTATGCTGTGTCACTATGCCTCTTAAATCTTTCATGCAGATCTTCCATTAGTTTATAGAAAGGTTACATGCCAAAAATTTTTATCTTGTAAACTACAGAGAACAGTTATCTTCCATCATCTCAAAAATCTTGTAATTTTTCAGAAGTTATGGAACTTTGTAAATTAAATACAGACAGTAAAAAGGTCAGCAGGTTTCCCTTTCAACAAGGAACAATGCCCTGAGACAGCTCAGTACATTAGAAAAGTCAGGGGGGCAGGGGAAGGAAGGAACATATGCCCTAACTGCAGAAACAGTAACTTATACTGGAAGACCTTAAATTTGCTGGTGCTCTTCAGTGATTTCTTTAGTTACACCATAGAGTACATGAAGGGACAGAGAGAAGTCCATTCCCTGTCATCAAGCCCTAAACAAGAACACAGGACCATAAGCCAAGAAAGTAGCGCAAGACTAAGCGCAAGTTCTTTCATCCTCTGCTGTAGTGTGATTACTAACAAAAATGACAGGTTTATAAGCTCCTTAAATGAGCCTTTAAAACTCATTTTTGCCAAAGCTGATCAACCCTCCTTCTGTTTCAAAGGGAAGAGTCTATAACATTTCATTATTAGTTTCAGTGGATGCTACCATGTGGTAGTGCACAAAGAACAAGCCTTACAAGTGTTTTAGCCTAGCAATTCAGAAAACACACTCAGATAAACTAGTCTGCAATACACATTCAGCTATCGAATGCTCAGAATTTAGATTACTATCTTTCAGAAATTGATTTACCTGCCCTGAAACTGGTTTTGGGTTCTAAAACTTATGGAACAGAGTAATGGGAATGACCACAATTGTTATTTATTGAAGCACAAAACTAATCAGTAAAGCTGAGTATTCCTCTCAATTTTGATTTTTCAGCACTTATTTCAAACAGAAATTAACAGCCTCTGTCATGAGATTATACTTTTACATGAGTGTTCATATTGCTTTTTATGTCTTCAAAAGTTCACCAGCTGAGATGCAGTGGAATTTTACCTAGATTTGGAACAAAGTATTGAAATATTGCTTTAATGAAATTTTCATCCCTGAAACCCACAAAGAGTAATTAAGTGTATATAAATATAAAAATCATTCAGCAATGAGTTTGGAAAGAATAAGTTATTAGAAAGAACTAAGTATGTGCAGCCTCTTCAGTAACACTGGCCAGTCAGTGAAAGTTGTCCCAGTTAAATATACCTCCAAAAAGATGACCAACATGAAATCTTAATTATAAAGATTTTACAAAATACACTGCAATGGCAATTCTCATCCTGTATACTGAATTCAGCAGATTATTTCACTTTTTTTGAAAAAGTAACTTCGAGAAATCCTTGATACTTTGCTCGGTTCCTCAGGTGTGCCTTAAGAGCCCTCCATCACAATTCATCTCAACTGTTAACAGTTTCAGGACTGATTTACAGGAAATATCTCTTACTCTTGTTAGCTCAGCAGCATCAGTTTCTCTCAGAAAAAACTAGATGAAAAGCCCATTCAGGCAAGGCAGGCGAAGTTACTTTCCCACAATTACAATACAAGTTAGCAACAACATACTTCAGTGACCACAGTATCAACTTTTTCTTTAGGACATATTTCTATGGCTCAAGACCTTTGGCTGAAAATAAACCCTGAGGGCTCAATATATTTTACTGAAGTCATTCTTTAAGAATACAAGGCCTACCCCCATCCTCAGTCAGTACATATGCTCTGAACTTGTTTATTCTTCTTGAAACTGCAGAATGCTACCCACATGGGTAGTATTCAGTTTTCAAATAGACACAAAACAAAAGAGGAAAGCCTTTGTGTTGCTTTTAACAAATTGACAGTTATTGTCTATGTATATGAACTCCCTTTAAAGCCTCTGTATCTGCTTTCTTTTCGTTAATACTTTTCCTAATAATTTTCAGAAACAAAATTGGAGGTCTAACATCAGCTTCTCCCTACATTCTGTTATTCATCCTCTCACTCTCTCTCCCACAAAGAATTTGAAGTTCTAGTAGTACGCAGAAACAGTGTTACCGTACACATAGAAAATAGCTAGAGCAGCTCCCACTTAACAAAACAGGATTATCAGTCTTTAAGTCTTCAACCTTTCTTTATAAAGATCTAAAGAAAATCTTGAGTAATACAACATTCTCAAAGCACAGAAACTACATACACCTCAGGAATTCTAGACTAAAGTAAACAAAAATTAAAACTACATTTTATACATTTGAAAGGGATGCACTGCTCGGAATTCTTACCTGTATGACTGTTGAAGTGTGCAAAATTAGCAAAATTTGCTGTAGCAGTTGACTGGGGCGGAGCAGCAGCAAAGATATCTGAGCCAAGGTCACTGAGGAGGTCAAATTGTTTCTTTTCTTGTTGCTGCTGTCCTTGAGATCGAGCTACAACAGGAGACTACAAACAACATTTTGATTAGCTAATACAAAAAAAGCTGATATTTTATCATACTGACTTTTGCAAAATACTAGAAGGATGGAGTAAGCATATTTCTTGAACAAGCCATTTATTCCTGAAGTTTAAAATGCTGGGTACAGCACAGACCCTCCTCCCACAGTATAAGGGAGACAATCTATTTATGCTTCTATGGTAGCTTTTAAAGGAACTTTGCAGCAGATTTCCATGGATTAATAGGGCCTAGAAGAATGAAGTAGCAGCATATAAGCAGCTTCAAAATTATGCATTTAAAACTGCAAATACTGCACAAATACAAGGAATAAAACTTAATTTTACAAGCCAGAGTATAGTTATTCACTGCATTCTGAAAAAATCTTTAGAATGCACTGTAGGGAGAGAAAAACTAAGGGATTTCATAGCAAGGCTGCAAGCTGCAGAGTTCTAAAGAGGTCCGTTCAAGAGTTGCCTGGTATCCTAAAGGTAAAAGAGATTAAGAGAAACCGTCTTCCCTCCAAAAAATCTAAGTATATAGTGTTGTTTGGCTTTAGATAATAGCATACAGACACTCCTCAAAAACCACTTAAGACAGTTACCAAATGAAACCACTTAAGACAGTTACCAAATGCATGGGATGTAATGATAAGCATGCACACTTCTCACCCACATATTCACTACTCTCATGGTTAACTATATCAGGCATTTTATTGTTTTCAAATAATAAAAGAAATATTAAGATATATCACATTAGGCTCAATCTTTAGAGATATTTAAGCAAAAGGCTATCATAATTAAACCTGTCAATCACACTAGAAAATTCTGCTTATTGCAAATAACCATTTTTTAAAATTAAATCAATTTGGTCAATAGAAACAAGCTTAATTTAGAACTTGATCTGCAAACACTTCAACAGAATACATGAAGTTGTCTCTAGTCTTCCTATCATTAGGTAACAGTTACAATTGCAAGAATTCTGCTACTACAGGAGAAAAAGTACTGCTGAACAGTTCTGTGCTTTTCAGCTCTGTCATTACTCACTTGGCTAGGTGTGCCCTTGTTTAAGTGCAGTGCAGGTGCAGCTTCTCCCAAGAGAGATTTGAGTGGCTTCACCTCAGGTGTGCTGCTTGTACTACTAGCAGAAGACCCCGATATGGATGCATGCACTGATGCCACCACTTTTGCTTGCTCTGGAGGAACATACCTACATTCAAAAAGAGCAATGATTTTCACAAGTTTAACGTGGAAAGTTCTGCTTAACACTGATGAGACTAAAGTGTGAGAACCAGTAGATCTCAGCTTTGCTATATTAACCACTGACCCCAAAACAAGTATTATCAGTAGTCTACAAAATACTCAGTATTCAAATATGCCAGATCTTCTAAAAAATGGACTACAATTCCAAGTCATCAACATTTTATAGCACTTACTTAATACAAGCCAGGTGTCTTCCACCCCTTAATAAAAGCCTGCAAAACTCCTCCTTCGCACTGTTGTTCACATCCCCTTAAGACATTTCTGTTCCATCAATACATGCTACATACTGAGAAGTTTCTGTAGTTTCTTTTCTGCCTTCTATAGAAACTCTGAATAAAGTCCAGAAATCATTTTAGACAGCTGTGCAATCTAGTCCAAAGAGCACACAAGAAGGAAAGCACGCTCAAGAATAGGAGGATAACAGTCCATCTTCACTTCTTGTTATAGAGGCAACAGTTATAATTTTAAATGTATCTTACCATCTTTTCTTTTCATATTTTTCCTGTAGAAATTCCTTTACTTTCTGTGGATCCCTGAAGTCTGGAATTGCTGATGATCTATCATCAAATAGGCCTAGCCAAATCTGTTTGCACACCTTATAAAAACAAACAAACAACAAGAAAATAACACAACCACATATTAATCAAAGAAAAATATCTTAACTCAAAGCCTATTTAGGTTTACCATTGTTAATACATCATTAAAAAGTGCATGGCTGCATGTTTTTTGTTCCAGACTGAGCTGCTTTAACCACCAACTGGTGCACTATGTACTGGTCTAAATACCTAAAGTTGAAAGACCATCTGTCACAGCAGGGCACGCAAATCCTAGCATCAAATTTCACCATCAGATACTGCTTTTACAAAATATTTGTGTCAGGCACTCATCAAGGGGTAAAGCACTCGATTTCTACTTGTGATATTTAAGACTCTTCTCCTTCACCTAATCCTACACATTCCCTTACCTGTACTCCAGGGTTTAAACAGTTTCAATAGATTCCATATGCTGTAAGTCCCAGACGGTGGCTTTCAAAGGATCTGAAGTTTAGTTTTTATACTTACTACTATTTGACCATAGGAACATTTATTTTAAAGCAGCCTTTCTTAGCGTGATGTATACTATACAATAGAAACTGCATTTAATTTACTAAGGCTGACAGAAAGCAGAAGTACTCTTGCTCTGCTTTAATTTTCTAAACGTAGTCGTGAGTAAGCAAAAGTTGAGCCAGTTGCAAAATTCTCAGTCTGATCAGCTTCAATTCCTGACCAAGACAAGAGGAAAGGTGACTGTTCTCAAAAGTAAGACATAAGAGTTGTCACATTCGAAATGTTTTCTTTAAGCACTTAAGATTACTCCGCAAGTAACCTGAGTATGTACCCAAATGATACAGTAAACACCAGATACTCTCTAAAATAAGACTACCATTTTAGAACAGGTTTCTTCCAGAGAAGCAGAGTCAAGAGAGCTTTGTTTTTATGATGCATACCCTTTCTTCCCACACCCTTTCCGAAACAGTCCTGAACATTCCTCTCCACATGTCTCCTACAAACGCTGCCCTCTATCACTGCAATAGTGTTAGGTTTTCAGCATGGTCCCTCATGACCTTCAGAGGAAGCACATTCTCTAACAAGCAAGAGCTGCAAAGCTGACAGTCCTGGAAGCTGGCAAATGAAAGCAGAAGCTTGTGATACTGCCACTACATCTTCCCTAGTTATGTTTTCTTCTTTACCAAGCCAACTAATTTCACCAAAATTGTAGCAAATTAGCATCTTCTGGAGCACTAGCTGTCAGATGTGATAAAACTTACAGGTCATTTTTCAAAGATTGCTCAGGATTAGAGAGATTTAGACAGCATAAGTATGTATTTCATACTTGATGTCTTGAATGCCTGCTTGCATTTCCAACACTACACAGTCCTTATTGTCACCTACCGGATAGAGACAAACAATGAGAAGCAGATCTAACTAATGATCAAATGATAGCCCTAAACTAGTGAATTAGATACTCATCTAAAAAATAAGATCAGTAGTTCCTACTTCAAATAAACTCAGCTATTCAACATTCATTAAGCAACTGTACTCCACAAAAGGGTTAACTTCAATACACTGATTTGAGTTAGCAAATACAAAGTCATTATTTGCAGTATGGTAATAGGTGAAATGAAACTGAAGGTATTTGTTTAATACTTCATAAAAATACACACTTAGCCAAGAAGTCACAAGTCTGATCTAAAATAATAGCTAATATCATGAAGCACTATTTTAATAGCGGACATCTTTCACCTAAGCATTACTTTTTGCTGACAAAATTTATAAAGTCAGAATATTGATGGTATAGCTTTAAACATCTGCAGTGGGTAGTCTGATGTGGGCCAGCAGTATCATTTCCTTACTTCGATTTGTGAGTGTAACTGCACAAACTAGCAGACATATGACTGCTACAAGAAGAGAAGTCCTGTTGTGGCTAGTTACAGAAAAGCAGAAAGAGAGTCCCTACTCAGTCCCGCACCTAGCTCAGTAACACTCAGGGCTGTACCATGATTATCGGTTTGCATCCAGCCTAAATTGTGCTAGAGAATGAAAGAAGATTTCCTCTTCCACACCCGTATCAGGCAATTACTCTCTCTTCTCCTACCACACAAAACAAGTCAGATGAAAGAAACTCATCACAATTACCATGTCACTAGTGCCACAGAAACCTGTACAGAGATCAACTCACAGCAACAGTCAAACCACAACCCAGCTTTCCACTTTCTCCCTCTCCCAGTCTTCTGCTTCATCTGCACCCTGGAGGGCCTCAGTATTCAGAGGGGAAGGGGGGTGGAACCAGAACAAAAAAAAAAAAAAAACAAACAACAAAACACAACAAACCTAACTACATGTCAAACATTCTCAAGCCTTCCTGACCACTACAGACCATTTTTAGAAGAAATGAGACAACAGGGTCTTATATGAATTTAGATTACCAGCTATAGTAGATAACAGTTCTATGAACATGCAAACAGGTACAAAGGAAGACTATGTTGTCCAAACACACTGTTGGTTTAAAATGATGCAACCTTATTAAAGGCATCAATTCTTGCATTGCAGTTTTTGCAAACCTTCAGAAAGCATGCTTCCGAAAGTGTTTCTTGGATCAATAGATTTCTTCTAAACACAAAACTGTACCAAATGAAATATGCCTTAAGTCGCTATTATTTATTTAATTAAACCTTCCAGGCATTCTTCATTAGTTCTCTGTTACTGGCAGCAGAAAGAACATTACTACTAATGGCCAACACAAAATATGCAACTACTAAGCAAAAGAACCTAGATTTAGTCACACACACTTGAGCAAGAAGTTGTCATTTTAACAGTTTGACAGCAGTAACTATACAAACACAAGTTAAAATATTTACCACACCAGAAATGCAAATTAAATTTCACATAAGCTTCTTTACCTAAAGACTTCTCCAAAAAAGTAGTTTCTTAAAAGTCTTAAATACAGACAAGTTCTTTTAGAAAGACAAATCTTATAAAGTTTTAGAATCACACGAGAAACTACTAAAAAGGCAGTTCTGTCTATTTCTGTGTTAAGAACCACACAATGCTTTGAACATCAGCAGCCATTCCAAGCAAGCATTCAGAACACAATGAAAGGCCTGTTGTCTTTCCTTATTTGCTGGTGACCTGTATGCTCTACTTTTGTTACTATCATCTGACTTGACAGGAATCCACAATACTGCACTGATTATGCTTCAAGTGAGTCATAACACACATTTTTCAGCAATTTACAAAAAAGTAAATGGCAGTGTGCTGTGCCTTACCTAACGTAGGAGGAAATCAAAACTGGGAATTAAACTAAAAAATATTATTGTCAGAACTTGCATTGTCCTAAGCTGTTCTTTTAAATAGTTATCTTTCTATACTCTTAAAAGTTGCTAACAGTACTGAGTCTTGTGCAATGAGAAGTTTGCTGTGAGAAATCTGAGTATTTTCTCTTATGAGGCCATCGTAATTTTTATTTCATAGCTATTTAAAAGTTACTCTTATTATAAAGATCAAGGATATTTATGCCATACAACTTGCTGTTGAGTTATGGTGGGGAATGATCATTCAGTATTCATATCTTGGGTATCCTGATTACTCCCCACTAATCACAGCTTTAAATCCACTGTCTGAATTTGACAGTACTTGAGGTACTAAAAGATTGATTTTTCTACATTTCCACAATTTGGTTGTTTTGTTAGGATTCTTCTCTACTCCAATCTGACAGAAAAGGCTACTGCCCAAGTTTCGTGATGCATCTTAAACTCCATTTTGACAGAATTACTCATTCCTTTGCTTTTACAGGTAACACATAAAGAAGCATCTCAACTCACTACAAAGTTATACAACATCACTGTTAAGTTACTGGGCCTAAAAATTCTGTGGCTTTCTGAAGTCCTTCTACATCACACCATTTTCTTGGTCATATTCTGGTTCAGCCATTTAATACTAATATTGTTCTTTTTGCAACAGCAGCACAAGTAAGCCTCTGCTCAAAAGCTTTGTTATTCACTAGAAGTCTTGCTATGCTCCTCCTTTTGATAACCAAAGCTTTATTAAACAAAATGCTCTGCTTGGAGGAGACGAGCCTGACAAGCTGAAGCAAAGAGTAAACATTCAAGTTATGTGGAAACCCCTAGAAACAGTGGAACATATCCAACAATCCATAATCATTGTCCACTGTCCCTGAAAAGTATAATTAGTCCATGTCCCACTGGTTCAACAATGCAGCAAGGGAAAAAAAAAATACAGCATTGAAGTTGGAACGATTAAGTATATGCAGCATTTGAAAGTCTACTTGTGTTGAAGGGTTGACAGAAGCAAGACTGAAGTTTTGTTTGCCTCAACTACACTGTGGGAGCTGCAAAGCAACAAAACAAAGCAAAGCGTTATCTTGTCAGGTAATAATAAGTAGAAAACAAGATTCAGCAGTTATCTTCATGAAATTTCAAAGTTCGAGAGAATCCTTTTACAACTGGTTTGGGAAGAACAGTACCTGTTCTCTGCCAACAGTGTCTAATGCTGCAAGGGATGTCATTAGATATTTGGCAACTAGATACTGGGAAGTTCAGAATTAGATCAGTAAGTACAGCATGAAGCAAAGAGGGAAAAAGATTCACAACCAGCTTCAACCTACTCACCCTGACCTGGATAAAAACCCAGGAGGAAGCAAAGCAGAAACTGTGAGTTGCTGTAACTTATATATATCACTGAAAGAAAAAATTGGGCCAAGCACATGTTGTATGTTATAATAAAGTCTTTACCTATATTTCTCTTCATACCATTGGTTTGCCTGAATCTGCACTCAATAGCTATTCTATTTGAGAGAAGTTGTTTTTCCTAGAATAACTACATATATTGTTTTCCATACACTATTTTCTAGCTCTGACAGAAAGGAACAAAGTAGTCATCCGGTTCAATGCACATCTGATACTCCACAAAAAGTTAAACCAAAAAGGCTTCTGGTTTAAAACCCAGCCTCCTAGTAACATTTCATGCTTTCAGGAGTTCCAAACAGGGTTCAAAGGCTAAGAGGAAAAGAAACATATCTGTTTTCCATAAAAGTTTAGCTTTTTGTTTTGCTTCTAGTTTTGTTGTCATGTTTTGGGGTGAGGGGGTTGTGTGTTTTTACAGAGCTGGGAAGGTAGGGAAAGA